CCCTCTATCTATGTCGACTTGATGGGCCAGATTTCACAACCGTACAGAAGAGTTGAACGAACGGCTGCATTGTAAACACTGCCATTCAGAGCGAGAGTGATGTCGCGCCGACGCCACAGGTGGCGGGGACCGACAAAAGCGCCTCGAGCTTTTGCTATACAATTCGTGATCTCATCTTTCACTCCATTAGCGCTAATATAGCTGCCGAGATACTTGAATTTCTCGATGACTTATAGATGATCACCCCCAAGAATCAGCGCAGGAGTGGGTCCCTGGAAATTTTGTAGAACGACTTTGTATTACAACCGTGCAAAGCATAGCACGAAACGATTGAAAGCTAATGTGAATTTGTCTAGTTCTACTTGGCTCGTTTGGAGCTGTCACAGATAAGGACAATGTCGTCGACGTACTCTAAGTCAGGAAATCGACCGCCTGGAAGCAACTCTACGCTTACAGCCAGAAGTTGCCGGTAAGCACCGATAAGTTCCAAAGACTGCGTAGAGATCCAATGTTAGCGATTTGATTTGCCACATAAAAACATGCCTGATGCTAATAACGACTGGTGAACATGCGACCAGTGGCCTTCTATCGTGTTCAGAGGGCACTTAATCAGGTCGGATGCCACTGTACTTTGTTACACATTCAGGTCTGGATTAGCCAGATGGAAAGTAGCTATGTGCTCACAGTGTCGTTGCGGATATCCGTCGAAAGGCACCTGCAGGTCAGAGCATGCAAGGGCGAGATTGGTATCCACGCTCGTGCTCCAAATTGAGCAACAGTTTGGGACACAGCCTCTCCAGCGGTAACTGATCGTGATGTGATCGATTTGCGTCCATGGCTGGTCCGATGCTAGTGGGCTTCATTGCATTCTCCTGCGGCTGTTGTGCCGGATGTTAGTTATAGTACGAAATAGACGAGCATCATCACACAGGTTTAGCAACCGCTCACCGTTATCATCACGAGGTCCTACACCGTGTTGGCCGCCTAAATGCAGAAAATTAGTGGAGAGATTTCCCACTTCGGCGTTCAAATCGTCAACCAGTACCACAACATACGTACTAGTCAGGTAACCTAAAAGATCGTTCAGTTGGTAAATAATTCATCTATCAATGAATCAGCGCTACAGTTAGTAGGGGCTTAGGTCGCAAACAGGCACTGATTGTCCCTGTGCGATTTCGAATCTTTAAACGAGCTAGCCAACCTGACGATGCAAAATCGGCTACTCATCGGCAGCAGCTTCAGCGATGGGACTCAGATCGATGCCCATAGCAGCTTGATCAGCATTTGAAGCTGCCTTATCTCCAGACAAACGCAGTGTGAACGCGTCGCCAGTGTCACTTTTGAGGGATCGTAGGGCAATCACGGAACTGGAATTTTGCAGGCGATTTTCCGATAAGCAGCAGATATTGATCGATAAGGCCTTTAGTGTTCCAGCAAGTGCTGCCTGTTGGCCAACCTGCAATGAAGTGTGCACGTTGAGGCATGTCAGGCTTAGCGAGGATCGGGGGGCCAAAATAGAAATGGATGCACTGATGTTGTCCACTTGGTTGAACATGGACTTGTCGACTGGACTGGAGTGACGCCCTGCGACTGCGCGTGTGTCGAAACTAGAAGACAAACGCCCATCAAAGTCAGATGCGGAGAGCCAAGAATAGCGCGGTTGTGGACAGGGGGCATAAAAGTTAACTCGGAAAGGGACGATGCGGATGTGAATGCGCTAGAGGCGGAAGGACTGAGAAATAGCATCCTCACTACTATCCACCATGCTCGATGCAGCAGATAGAGCACAGTTGATTATCCTCTGCGACGGGCAGAGCATCAAAAAATCGTTGGAAGTGTAAGTTACTGTATCGTATTGCGTGGACAGGATATTGTCAGGTTGTCAAGGTTTAGACAGAAGAACAAATAGTAGTCCCAACCTGACAGCAAGGCAGTGGGATTACGGCACTGGACTAAAGAGTCAGTTTTATGGAGTAAGGAGCCATCCTCACTTTAACCCCCACATTGGAGAACCAAGAGACTGAGTTTGGCTGGCCTCTAACCATTGACGAATCTGGCATGAGTGGCTCTGGAGACGCAAAAATCACCACGCAGCATAGTTCAATGGATCGCCGAGGCACTCAAACCCCCGCACCACGTTAAGGTCCAGTCCCGTCGCGAAGGTAAAGAAGCTACTGGTGCGGCTACGATTATGTGCTGGCTTCAACTAATAATGGTTGTGTTCGTTTTTGGCACTGCGCATAGCGTGTATTCACTCGTTTTGTGGTGTGTCAGCCGTCAGGATTTCCTTTATGAGCAGTGGTCCACCATCACACCAAATCAGAGATGCGCCACGGTAGATCACCGCCACTTAGTTTAACCACATTGCGACAGTGCTTAGTTATCTGTGGCATAATGGCTGATCATGACGCAGAGGCTGAAAACCGCAAGAAATCTGTTTCGTCGATGATGCCGTACATTTGCACGACACCCAGCTGTTTTGACTGTGTTTTTGACAAGATGTACGTGTTTGGACCCTACCTGTTTGCTTAGGGTATTGAGGTGATACACTAGGTCCCCATTCTTCCTTCTTACTATGTTTCATTCCCAAGGTCATTCTGGTTGTGAGGCAACGAAGTGTCAGTTCAAATGACTGATGCACTGTCGTTGTTGCTGCAAATGAAGCAAACTCAAACATCGCCCGATTCTACGGACTCCCGAAGGTGCACAAAGCTGGTGTATCACTTCGGCCAATCGTGGTACGCTCACCTACAACTTAGCTAAAGAATTATGGAGGCATCTTAAACATCTGATTAGTGGATCGCGGTATTCCGTAAACAACGCTCAACAGTTTTTAGAGAAACTCAAAGGGCTGCGAATTTATCATGAAGAAATAACATCGTCCTTCGACGTAACTGCACTGTTCACTTCTGTCAACTTACAAGTGGCGAAAGAAGACATCAGAGAACGCCTGAATGTTGGCGAAGGAACAATTGGGAATCTGACGACTGATATGGGTGCTTCTTCATTTGTGTCTCCCGACCTACTTTAACTTCGATAGAGCATTCTATGAACAAGTGAAAGGAGCCCCAATGGGATCACCTCGAGCTGGACTCATTGCTGAGGTTGTCATGCAAACGTTAGAAGAAAAGCTACTCCCAGCTATGAATCCGAAACTGTGGGTCAGATATGTTGACGACACGTTTGTCATACTCAAACGCAGCCAGTTGCAGACACCACAAAGCCTGCTGAACAGTGCAATGGACGGTATTCACTTCACCATGGAGTCAGAAATGGAGAACAAACTTCCTTTCTTTGAGGTATCGGTTAGTAGAACAGCGGAAGAAGAACTACAAACATCAGTTTACAGGAAAGACACGCACATAGATCAAATTTTATATTTCAACAGCAATCATCCGAAAGGTCACAAAATCAGCTGCATACGCACCTTGTTCCGCAGGATAGAATCACATTGTAATACTGCAGAAGCAAAACGCGAGGAAGAAAAGCATTTATTTACATACTTCATGCGCAACGGATATTCACGCAGTTTCATCCGAAGATACATAAAGTACAAGAGTTCAAATCCCACACCTGAACCAACAACAACGAAACGGATCGCTTTGCCATACATCAAGAACCTATCGGAACTGACTGCTAGACCCCTCAAGCCTCAACATCTGTTATTGGCTCACATACAGACCAACACTCTGAAAGGAACCCTGTCTACACCTAAATGGAAAACGAGAGCACACGAAAGCCGGAACGTTATTTAAAGGATACAGTGTAAAAATTGTGATAAGAACTATGTGGGCCAAACGGAAAGAAAATAGTCTACAAGGCTACAAGAACACGAACGAACCTGCCTAAACCATTACCCATCATCATTGGTCTCGACACACGTTGATGAAGAAGGGCACATGTTTGATTGGGAGAAAACGGAGAGACTGGCGCAGGGAGAGACAAAAAAGGGAGAGAATTCTTCGAAGCGTGGTTCACTACAGACAGTTCAATAAACCAGCGCATCGACTTAGATAAGGTATACCGGCAGCTGTGAAAAAAGAGCTTACATGGGTCATTTGGCACATGAGTCGACAAAGAGGTGCCCGAACTGCGAACTAGCAATGGTCACGGGATGTGAATCGAAGTGGCCAAGTTCAAATTGCAATCGCTCGTCGGTAAGGGTCAACAAAACAACTCAGTTGGCTTATTACGCACTGAAGAAGTCCCCTCGATTGGTGATGAAACGTTTGTAACGAAACTGTTCAGCTCGGAGAACAGAACAAAATCTGAACAGATCACCCGAGCTACAGGTAGTCCGATTTATTGCTAATAAATGAATCATAAGTTGAGATCAGATTGATTCAAGGGACACAAGTGATCAACGGGGAGAATTGCTGCTGTTAGGGCCTTACTGTCAATAAGATGTATCTAGAAGTCTAGCGGTTAGCAAAAGTACAGTGACATAGAGAGGCGGATGGGTTGCGTTCTTGATTTCAATTACCAGATAGTCTAATGTCCCCTCAGGGTTTGGTATTTCTTCCATAATCAAAGGCACACACGATACGTAGTAAGAATATAGGTAGATAATTCTGTAGATGTGCAGTTTTATGTTCACCCGTTGGCTATTGAAATGATGACCGGCACGTAGACACCATTACGACGACCTCAAACATGTCATATCTCAACAAACCAATCGTAGGATAAATTGGGAAATAAATCAATGTTACCAAAAAGAACCGAAGAAATGGGAGTAGATAGTCAACAACACACCATTTCTGCATACATAACCCAAAAGCCACTAGATATGTCCTTCTTCACAAATTCGTATGGACTAGGTGAGTACAAAGTTAGGATGAATATCTTAAGGTGTTAGTGAGTTAGCTTAAGTTGGATTTCTATGCAACCACTTTGCTGCGATCGGGCATTTGCTTTTTACTATTCTGTTTATCAATATAGATGCAAATTCGACATCTCGGTCGGAACATCTCTCGTTACACTGAATGTTTTTTTTCTATCAGGCACATCAACAATCTTATTGTCAGGCTCGCAGAGACGCTATTCGTAATCCGATTACGGCACCAACCAGCTCAGCATCGACCATGGCGATGACAGCAAATGCTGTGGCGGTTAGCGCTAACCAACCATCTGGTTTGGGAAACTCCAGTGGACCTGCGAAGCGGCGTCGTACCCAACCAATCAGTCCACATGCATTGATTGAGACCCAACCATCCACGAAGGCATCTGACAGTCGACTGAGCTTTTCGTCATCTAACGTGTCTTCCGCGTCGGGCAGTGGAGATGAAGGAGATATGAGACGAGCCAAAGAGGTCATCGCGTCCAACAAGACGGAAACCCTGAAACCAACATCAAAAATGCCTTCAGAAAACGCCAATGCAGAGAACATTAACTTGGCGACCGTATGGGAGCAGTGTGGGAGTGTGGAACTCCGCTGTGCCGCTTGCGGATACGTGGGGCAAACATCAAGGGGAATGAAGATGCACAAGCGATTGCATGAGTGCAAGGGCGTCGCAACTAGGTGAGTGTTCCGAGTTTCAATCGTACTTAGCGTTCTGAGGGCTCCAAAAAAGCCTGCTGACCAACACGATTAGGTGAGCACAGAGCACGCCTAATAAACACTCCGAGGAAGCTAAAATGGTGCTTGCAATCCGATATTTCATTTTATGTCGAACGCGGTAGAAGCTCGGGCTGAAACGAAGACTTCGGAGCAAAAATGAACGTTTCTGCTCATCGATTTTGACTTAAGATCGAAATTCAGGTCCCGTTTAACGACTAATTTCGCAAGGGCCAAAGTGGGATTAGAATAGCACGAAACTGCATCTTTTGTAATTTGTAACAGTGGTCAAGTTGGAAAGTCAGATGCGTGAGACGATCCTGTTAACTACAAAGACCGACGTCAAATCAGCTTAAGCATGACGACTCATATTCATTCATGCTGGTAACTTACGCTAAATCCCGAGGTCCAAATTCACTCCAGTGCGTCCAAAACGCACATACTGAGACTAAGCCAGACTAATCAGAAATTGTGTTTATTGTTTACAGGGAGGCAAAACAATCTGGAAAGAAACGTGACCGAGAATCCACCAACGATGATTCCGTACATTTCAGAGTCGACCGATCACGGGAGAAGCATAGCGAGAGAGGATTTCTCATGCGAGTACCGGAAGAACCAGTGAAATCAGAATCCGTGTGAAACGCCCCAAATCTCCGTGTGCGCCACACTTAAACTTTGTGATATACGACATCAAGTTCCGGTTCAAACAGCCGGATAGCCTTTGGATGTTCCAGCAAGATCCAAACTTATCCGTCAACAAGCTCATTTTTAGCTCTGCCCACTACATGTACATATGCTGAACTTCTCTATCTTCCCAATTTGAACTGGTAGTCAACAGTTCAAAATAAAACGAATCATTTCAAACCATAGCAACACATTGTTTTGGGGTAAATATGAGCAAGAAGAGAGTATACAATAAGGGGCACATTACGTCAGAAGTAGGAGGAATGGTATATTGCACAGAGGAAGAAACTGCTCAGTATGAGCTCATAACTTTCTACCATATGTTCAAGCAGGAGTTGAAACCCGAAGGTTTGTTTGGCTGTAGGACGCGTCCCAAATGCCTTAAAGCAGACCATAACCGCCAATGCTCTTACCAGTTATACGGTGTAGCACCAGAAACACTTAGTGGCAGAAAAAGAAATCAACGATGGACAGTAGGCCTGAAGTGGCGAACGGTTGCTGATTGTCAAAGCAAATAAATGGTTTATTTCTCGATGGTGCGAGACAGACCAAATACGCTGTCTGATCATTCTGTACAACATACTCGGATGGTAAAGAAAGATTTTGAACTTTACAAAGTAGGTCCCAGAGAAGTTTCGTGGTGTTGTTATTTAAAAGTAATAAAAATACAGAAAGTAGAGAGTAGGAATAAATGTAGGTATAGAAATCAGTTCAAGCAAAGTAATACGATCATCCGTGGAACCGTCTCCTGGGGAATTGTTTCCATGCGGAGTAATCCTTTGAGAGGTTTATTCCGCACTTAAACGCCTCATCTGGCCGTGTATTAATGTGGCTTAAAGTCAAGTAAGCCGTCATCATATTGACTCGTCAGTGGACGCACTGAAATTCGCCCTGCATGGTTGTGATTCATTGGCTTGGAAGTTTTAATCAATCACCTCGACAGATCTACCCAGTCGTCACCAACCACGGAAAATAAAAATAAGGAAAACCACAATAAATGAATATTATATGCTTCTCCGGAATGAGACGTGGTCTGGCGGCTGTCTGTTTCCGTTTGTACTATCAATCGAATAGAATAAGTAAATATGTAAACGTTTGTCCTCTGTCGTCCGTTCGAAGTATCTATAAACAGTGTTACTGCGGAAAGATTTTCAGGTGGTTCCATCAGCTGAGCCCATTGAAAAGAATTGCAAATAAAATCGAGGTGGATTTTGCGGAGTACGGCAAACTGCAGCGTATACCTGACGTGTGGCCTCCAGGAAAGAATCGAAGATAAATAGTGGTGTAGAACAGATAAAAAGTGACAAAATGGAAAAAAGTAAAACAACTTCGGTTTGGTAAGCTTAGATGTGACGTTAGGTGGAATATTCTCGTTATTAGAACAAGTACCTTAACCTAAGTGAATCAATCGAGTCAGGCGGAAAAGAGAAAACCGGAAATTTAAATCATACCCATCTCACACTAATTTTATGAGGAGATCCGTTGCTCATATTTGGTCTCAGTATACCAATAGCTGCTTCAATCTTGAGAAGTGAATGTAATCCTTTACGAAACATTATCCCTGACGGAATTTCACGTATCTCAATTAGAAGCCTGTTCCCTAAAAGGGAGTATCGGTTAAGGAATACGTTTTCCAACTGTTTAGTACTTATGGTTTAATCCAATACTGGTGTGATACATTGCCGGTTCTTTTAGTTGCACTACTGGATTTGAGGAATGTAATTTTCTGGTTAGGGTATCAAAAAGGACGATAAGGTACAGTTTCATCCGGTGCAGCCATAATGGACCAAGATGTAAGATAATGCATCGATCCATATATGATAATGTAGAGGAATAGCCCAAGAGACGCTTAGTGAATGACCGCTACACTTACTCGAATGTTATACAATCACTCACGCTGGATTTGCAATAGATTATGGAGTCATAATCTAGTAATAGACGTGTCTGTATTTTGTACGTGGCATTAATTGACTCTTTTAAAGTGAATGTTTTGAACAGAAGCCCGATGCTCCGATGATCATGAGCTGCAGCACGTCCGAGGTGCTCAGCGAAGTCAAGGGTGTCCGAGTAGTATGGCACTAGGACAAGAATGGTGCGGTAGTGAGACAGTGGTTGACCGTCAATAGTAAGAGAACCCGGTGCGATTTCACGTCACATGACATTTGTCAATAGAGAATGACATATTCCACGTGGAACACCATGAATCAAGTGTATGAAAGTCACGTTTGATTGCGCTGAGAATATCACTGATACGAGTGGAATTAAAAGTGTGGATAATCTTTATATATTTGGCAAATAGAAATAGTTAACCAAGATTAAGACTTCAACAATGTCAGTCATGTGTAGTAGAAATCGAAAAGGTCAAAGGACACTGCCTCGTATCACGCCACTAGTGACTGGCTTAGGCGTGCTCGTTACACTCTGAGCCTGGACAAACTGAGTTCTTTTCGTGAGGTATAGACGTATCACATGTATTTCCATCATTGGAGAATCAGGCAACGTCTGAGACACAGCACCCATGATATGAAGGCATGCTAAACAAATGGATGACAAGAGGGCTCCAACGGCTGCTTCGATGGAAGGCATTTCAACCGAAGCGAGATTCTGCTCCATCGCCGTATGTATAACAATTTAGAAGATCCGCTCCAGCCCCTAAAAATATTCAACAAACTGACAGTGAAGCTACGCATTTACTTGGAAGCAGCGAATACCATTTCGCAATGAGCAGCTGATGGAAGCGTCCGTAAATTGGCGGTAGCAAAGTATGACGTGACGATTTGTAATCTGGCATACCAGAAGGTCGAAAATCAGCTGATAGTTTGACTGACTGCTAACGCCAAAAGCGTAAAAGAATATGATCAGGGTAGCTCAAAGTTGACGTACCTTATTTCGTTTTATACACCATCGTTGCTAAATCAAGGATTAATTAAGTAGAAAAATGGATCAGATGTCCGCTTTGTCATTGTGATAATCGTCACTGTAGCAGAAATACATCACCGTCAGTGGTAACAATGCTTCAATGGCATTCGATCGACTCGCAGTGAGGCTGTGAAACGAGTGAATGACTAGTACCTCCGGTTAGGGAACAGGACGTGTTGGATATTATAATGAGTGTGTTGTGTAGTGTAGTGTGATAAGAGGCCTAGAGAAATGACCGGTAGCCGGGAACATGGACATATAACCATAAGCCTGAAGCGTGCATCACGAGAGGCTGAGCATTTATAGCATGTATGGCAATGGGGGATTAGCCGCGCAATATTTCAATGATAGATCAGTCATGGCGGTCCATCGACGTCATCCCTGGATTAGCAGGTTAAGTCGCTGCCAAGCAAAGGTAAGACAATGGGTTAGAATCCAGTAACGCTAACAGCAAGTCCCAATAGAACAAAACAGCCGTCCAGAGCAACCATTCTCAATGGGAGCCATAGAAAATTTCCGAGGGCCCTGAGGTGAGAACAGTGTTAATGGGTTGTGATAACACAAACAAACAAAATTCATTCTAAAATATTTTGCTGATGGGTTTCTTTCCGCACTAATCTTCCTGGCCACTACCAGTCAGTGAAATGAAGTACGGGTGTACAAGCGGCTGTTTACGAAGGTGTGAAAACCATACCTGGCAAACTTTCTGCTGCGAAGCTGGCATACATCGACGAAACTTGCGGACATTTCGCTCGGTTCTCCTCAGACATACAGTCATCACAAGGCGACTCACACTGCGTAAGTAACAATTGAGCCGTCTCCAAGATTTTGAGGCCAAGTCACAGTGAACCCACTGAACTCCCCACGACACACTGATGCCAACTGGATTTTCCTCAGGACACTACCACGGGGTGACAGCTAATGTGCCGATCAGTCTTTCACTCTCGTTGGGCCTCAGTGCAGTAGCGCTATGTTACGCGATTTTCGTCTCGTCTCAGCTCGCGTATACGTCTGATGGCTAGGTAACACTAGTCTGCATTGTTCCGAATTCCAGTGGCTACTCAGTGTGCGTGGAGGGCTACTTTTAAGGAACGTTCGTCCGGTCCGAATAAGGGCCAAAGTAATTGGGATGCGTTTTAATTGTTTATTAAAATTCAGTTCAACCGAAGTCTTCAAATTGGCAAGGATTTTTGTCAATTTACATCACACGTGTGGACATCTGAGTTCGATGATGAGTACATATAAGATATTGTGTGCATAAGGATACCTCTCATGATAAACAAATGTTTTACCAACACGCATTGGGCACCATGCTTGGCAATAGCCGAAGTCCGTTATTATTTACGTTGTCGACTCTCCCATGCCGGTTTCTTCCACTATCCGGCATTTTCTTCCGTGCTTATCTCTTTTTCCCTTCCTTTTATCTGTTGGCACTGTTTGCTTTAACTTTCCTGCAGTGCATATGTGTCCACCGAGCAATGTCATTGTCTAAGTTCCATTTGTTTCCATTCTTCATTGGCTTTTGTCAATAAGTTTTCTTTAGTCAAGTTAGCTAGCCACGGTATTCTCAAGATTCTCCTCAGAAACTACCTTTGAGTTACCCCTAAACGGTGTTTCTACATTTGTGGAGAAAAGATTATCGACTTCAGTATCAATAATACTGTCGGACCTGACTAAAACGAATCCTCAAGAAGCAGTTTAGGCCATTCGCCTCAGAAAATCAAAAGTATCCAGGCGAATAGATGAGATATGGCTCAAAACATGGAAAGTACCTTAGTTACTTTACTAGTCCGTAAAATTTGCGTTACAAGTAGATAAATTTACCTTACCTGATAATGGCGCTCTTCTTGTGGTATATGGCCGAGTCTTCAATGATAATGAATTAATGAAAGGGAGATGCTATCTACCGGGAGATTTATAACTCATGCAATGGGGCAGTCTACATTTGAGGTAGTCAATGGCTATCTGACTGAAAACGCCTTCCAAATGCAGAAAATAGTTGCATGTGCAACATATGGTGCCGCCGCGATGGTCGGAATATAGTAAACATTCATTACTCATCTAAAAAATGTTCTCCTGTTCATGCAATTCACTGTGACTCATCGACAGAACTCAGTGGTTAAGAACTTGGGAGAGCGCTTAAACGATTCACTCTCAACTGTTATAATAGTAATCAACAATATCAAATCACACCCCCTTCAAGACCGTCTTTGCCAGTAGTAGTGTGAAGAGAACAGTGAAGATGTCCAAGTTCTACTGTTGCATCCAAAGGTTAAATGACACTCCAAAAGCAACTGCCTTCGCCGTGTTGTTGCATTTGGGACACCATCATCATCTTCCTTTAATGGACTGTTTGTGAAAGAAAACTGTTAACCGCT